CTTTTCTTTTCTTGAAATTCCCTTTATTTTAAAAGTTATAGGCAAATTAAAATTACAAAAACAAGCAACAAATAACCTCCCTCATGACGTCCTTGGTTGCTTGAGAGTGGCCGTCAACTAGAAGAGGGGTAGTGAGCTTATCGAGCGCTCACGGCTGCCGCACTCTGAGTCGACGGCGCGAGAGGGCGACATTGAAGCATGTTCTGGATAGGCTGTATGCAGCGGGCAGCCAGAGCGGCTCTCATTGCCTTTGCTGCGCGATTAAATGCTAATTCGGCATGACACTTCATTGGCCTCAAACGACAGCAAACACGGGCTAAAGATCAGTTCACAATGGGAGCTGCTTTGCGCTGCCATACCGCGAAACGGCCAAACCGCAAGACAAAGCTTTTCGCCGAAGGCCTTCGGAACGCACGGAGCCGGTCGGATCCTCCTGCCCAAACGACCGGTGCGCCGCCGCGTACTCCCGTGACCTTTCCGTGTTGGTGCCTGATCCCACTACTCCTTTCTAGTATGCGTCGCCTTTTCCACCGCTTGGTGGCGGGTACGTCGGCGGGTCATTTCTTGTTTCCGTACTTTATGAACTGCACTCGTTTCTTTTTTTTTTTGAACTAGAATACTGAACAAAAACTACTTTTATAAAGAATTGAAACGGTTCGCGCCACTTATATTTTGTATTTCGACTAAAAAGAAGCTTTTAGCGGCTCTGACCAGTAGTAAGCCCAGGACCAAAGACGTCACATTTTGCGCGCTTTCGGTACCGCGGGTCGCCCTCGTCGGTGGAGGAGGTTTCCGCGTCGTCCAGTTAAAATATGACGCACTGATATTTAGTTACTCTCTCCGTGCCCGCTGGCTTGCCTGAACCCCAAGAGACGTGGAAACCGCAAAAAAGGTGGACGCTTATATATGATTGCAGGGCCCCTTTAAAACATTGACATCAATAAAGCACGTTTATCGAACTTGTTTTTGTGTACATCCCAGCATACAAAGGATTTACTTCCAATAATAATGTGACAAATTTGAGAAAAATACTTGACGTGAAAATAAAAAAAGTATTTTTGAAGTAACTGTACCTGTACCTAGGTACATTTTTAAGCGAGTAGCTAGATACGCACCTAGGCACATTTTCGTATGAGTAACTGTAACTGTATCTTAGGTACATTTTTGAAGTAACTTTTACAACCCTGCCCACCAGACTGTTAATTTTTTTTTCTTCTTTTTCGTGTATTTTTAAGGGACAGTCAACTTCGTGTCTTTGCGCTATAAATATTTCTAAACTGAGTTTTTTGCTTCTCCCAATGTAGAAGGAAAGATTCTTCAAGTCCAGCGCTAATTTCTTTGCTTCACTTCTTCTTGTCTTTGCTAGTGAAATGTTGTGGCGGTGAAAAACAGAGCCAATAGCTACTGGGAATTTTGTCCTAAGCACATCTTTGGGTATGACCACAAAACCTTCTTCTTTGTCTGCTGGCATCAGATATAAATATTTCTCTTTTAATGAAGGCACCACCTCTTTAAGAGGCAGAGGACGTTTTGGAGGTTTATATCCATATAGGATGTCTACACTTTCAAAAGTGCATCTATCACACGGATTCGGGGGCTCGTCTCGACACGTGCCTTACCAGAGACAGTTGTTCTGGCGCCGACTTCTTTGGTTCAACGGCGAAGCTGGTCCAAGGCTGAGGACTTGTCGCACTTTTTCTGGTAGCTGTATTTTTTTAATTGCGTGTACGGGGCTGCTATATGCAGACGTCTTCTTGGGTGTGATGGCGCGAAGGTTGTTCAAGGTGGGTCGCCGCAGAAGCTCTATTGCTTGTTCTGTAATAGTCAAAAATTCTCACCATTTTATTGCGAAAGCATTAACTGTCTCATGGAGCGAGCTGCCGTCATCAGTTTGAAGCGCGAAAACGGCACCTAGTTTCCTTCGGTTCAATCGGCTGGCGCGAGTCGACGGGGCTCCCATTGGTTGCTGCGTTCATCAGTCTCCACGACCGCTCACCCCATGGCGCTGCGTGTTCATCAGCGCGGCGTTAACACGGAGCGTCCAAGGTCACCGTGCCCAGGGGAGCACAAGCGCTGACCGGCGACGAAAAGTACGCAGCAGACGAAAAAGGGAGCGGACGAGCGGCTTGCATGCTTTCGCATTCACAACTCATGAGAAATGCCTTAGGTGTACCTCGATCTTTTTTTTTTCTTACCATCGAAGGGTCTTATTTTTTTACACAGTTGAAAGTGTAGGCAATCACGGTAATGGCGAGTTTGTCTATGCCATTCAGCTTGTAAGATCACGTATATCCTTCTCTCAGTCCCGTGACCTACCGATGGAGTGAACTAGCCGCTAAAAAGAGCCTTGGCGTCTGGGGGTAATAAACACTAATAATTTTACCCAGAGGCAGTAACTGTAGGTTCGCGCTTGACAAATGGAGATGACAATCAAGGTGACGAGGAAGGACAGGTTCAAGGGTGAACCGGCGAATGGGCCCGGTGTTGGGAAGGGTTTTTACGTACCTTTACGTCCGGATGTCCCCGGACGTAAAGGTACGTAAAGAGACTGTAAAGCTAGAGCTTCGGCAGACGGATGTCCATTAGGAGGAGGGGACGCCGACTGTCAGAGCAAGGGAAAACGCTAGCGTGGAGTCATCACCGGTCGGACGAGCTAACGCCGCGACTCCGACCCGCCGCCCGGATTACAACACAGGACTCCTCGACCAGACGGCCGTACAGTTGGAGGAGGGCAGGCTCGACTGTCTCGCGCCATCTCGCTGGTCCTTCAAAAACGGGAGACGAGCGGAAGAGTGCGGGAGGGTAGGCTAACATGGTGGCGTAGTCTCCCCGGGGCCGACACGATACGGAGCGGCTAGCAGGCTCGAAGCCAGACGACTTCGCCCGGAACATCCGCTGCTTACGCCTTCTCGGGGAGGGAAACCAGTGTCTCCCACACGGTTTATACGCCAATTTCACTAAAGCAGTTGACTACTTGGATCATAATTTGCTAATTAGGACTTCTTTTAAATTCATATTTCTCTTCCCGCAGACAATATTGTAGATGTAAATGGTCGGTCATCTGAAATAAAACTGATTGAATACGGCATTCCCCAAGGGAGTATTTTGGGGCCTTTAATATTCAATATCGATATAAATGACATAGTAAATGCAAGTTCAACAACCAATTTTTTTTTTTTTATCTACGTTGTGATGCTAGTTTAATTTTTCTGGAGAAGACGGCACAGAGCACAATTATATGTCGCTCCAATGAAATATTACAAAAACAGTTTTTTTCTCCAACCAGTTTTTTTCTGCACACAGCACCGAAAATTGGAGATGTTTGACTATATCATATGCCACAAAAACATCATTTGAATGACAACATAGACTTCCTTGGAAGAAGTCTGTAAATTCCCCGTATAGCCAAGATTGAATGACCAGAGAACTTCCCCCCTGGCCAACACTGCATTTACACCGTTTTGCCAAGCTTGACTGACCACTGAACTGCCAGTGTGGCCCAGGATGCATTTAGACCGTTTTGCCAAGCTTGGCTGACCACTGAACTGCCAGCCAGGCCCAGGCTTGTTTTACACCGTTTAGCCAAGCTTGGCTGTACAAGGAACCCCCACTGAACTGCCGGGCTGGCTAGCCATGCTGGGGCTAGCTTGCCCCTTGGAGCACAGCGGTGCTTGGGCCAGGGAAACTTTCCCCGGCTGCCCAAGCAGGCTCCAGCTTGAACCGGTGAATTGTGCTGCTTGGGGTAAATGTAATGCTCTAAAAATAAATGCCAATACGACAAGAGCAGTCTTATTTCGACCAAGAAATAAATATGTTTAGATTACCGAAGATATATATATATATATATATATATATATATATATATATATATATATATATATATTTAATTCTTCGAAAATTGAAATTGCACCTACGTTTAAAACTTTAGGCTTTTTTTTCTTTCGTCAAAACATGTCATGTGACGATCATATTAATTTCATCGTATCTAAATTATCAAGCATCGTTGGTATTTTATACTCTCATAAACACACCTTGCCTCTTAAAACGAAGTTATTATTATTTTATAATTCATTATTTTACCCGCATATAAATTATGGCCATCTTATATGAGGAACCATGATACATATACCAATATTACACACATATATATATATATATATCTATATGTATTACAAAAAAATTAAGAGGCATTTCTCATGTTACGCTGAATTATTCAATGAAAATTGTTTTCAATCAACTTAAAGTAATGAAATTTTTTTTATTTATACAGCTAGCTACCGTGATTTATATCAAATTAACCTGGTTTAAACCAAATCTTCCATCGTGCTTTGGCTGCGCGTGTGCGCTCGAACCTCACGAGACGCCGAACTCGAAGCGCTGTCGAAGATAAGAAGCTCGCGCTGGAGGCAGTGGCGTCACAAAAGAGGGGGGGGGGGGGGGGGGGCTGTAGGTGGGACAAGTATAAGACCTCCCTGGCAGTGCTCGTCAGGATGAGATGGTCACTCATCCTGTGAGTGACCATCAAGGATTTTGGTGACCATAAAAACACCCTGACAAGTCCATGATTGAAAACTAAGCTAGATAACATTATTCAAAAACCCCGAGCACCCCGAGACTGCAGGTAACGACACATACACTTTTCAGTGTATGTGTCATTACCTGAAGTCTCGGTTTTTTTAATCATGTTTAATATACACCAGCTCGTGGTGTGCTCTAACATTTATTTCAAGATAACAAGTGCGCAGTGCGTCGCTTTCTGACGCCCAGCCTAGAGCACGCGCTCCTCACCTTCCGCCATGCCTTGGCTGCGCGCACATGCGAAACTCACGAGCCCGTTCACTGTGCATGAGGCGTTCAGCGTTCAGGAACATCAGGAAACTCATGCTAAAAACGAAAACATGCTGGCTAGATGGCGCAAGCAGCCACCCAATTTAGTCAAGTGGCAAATCTTTCCTTGTGCTTATCTAGAGCACGTATAAACTTCATTTCTTTCGACATTCGCCCTTTAAAAATCCATTGACATTGGCTGGTGGCTGGCCAGTAGTGAGCCACTTGTGACCGTGGTGGCAGCAACATTGCAGCTTGCGGTAGTTAAGTGGTTAAGTTGTAGTTGCGGTATCCGAACCATTCGAGCGAAGTGAAACATGTCGTCTCTGGCAAGTGTGGCGTCGAAACTGAGACTTGATCTGGCTTCCAGACAGCTCCAATTGGTATGTTAATTGGAAACTGTTGTCGGCGGTCACTATCACTACTTTACAGTCTCTCTGGCGCACCACCGCGTCGTTCATTCGCTAGCTCGCTCGAGCTTCACTGATTAGCTTTCAGATTAAAGTACGTGGATATTTTTCCACCAGCCGGGACAACAGCCCAAAAACGAGATTATTGCCTGCAGTTGTCCCCCATTGGCTGGTTACAGTCACGTGACTACTGCCGGCATATCTAGACACTGCTCGTGCCGGGAGGCACGCACTTGATCGAATGAGGTTTTAGCGAACGCCGATGTTTCACCGAATTACGCTTTAGCAAATAGTCGGCCGCCACAAAGGGGCGTTTACGGGTGGGCCAAGTGGTTAACATTTTGTAATGAGCCGCCGCAGACTGTTGCCGCCAAGAGGTGTAAACTTAGACTGTGTGTGTGTGTGGTGGGGGGGGGGGGGGGGGGGGAGGGGGGGTTGGAGTTGGGGTTGGGGTTGGGTTAACACATGCCCCCGTTATTCGCTAAAGCGTCAATTCGCTAAAACGTCATCCCCTAAAAGCAGCGCATGCGACACTCAGTGGCGCTCTGTAGGAGCTAAGCAGGCGTAAATGCCTGAGATGGCAACTCTGGTGAGCAAAAGCAAATCTGAGAACACCTAAAGCCCACAACGTTCAACACTGAAAGACTACATAACATAACCTAAGCCTCCCCCTTTCCCCCCCTCTTTCACCCTGCAAACCAGGCGAGGTGGCAGCGTACGCAAATAGTGGTGGCGCGCGCGCGATTGCAGTAAAAATTGTTTTGTGGCAATGCGATCAAAGGTATGCGAGCGCGTGCGCTCACCGTCGATGAAAGATGTGCTCACGCATGCCTCTCTTCAAAAATGCCAGTGTACGGCGGCCGGATGTCCCATATGTAACGAGCCAATGAGAGGGCATTGCCGGGAATTGTTTTCCCGGGGTGCTATGTCGGCTGCCGGCACTCACATTTTTATTGGCTAAGTAGAACGACACTTCTGTCACATTGCCTACGGTTTTCCTATCTTAACAGTGCTGAAATGCGAAAGGATCTTGTTCGTTCACCATTCACGTTTTATTTTTCATCAGCTTGTTGACTTGTCTTGAAGTTAAAATGCAAAAAGACAGGGACAGCAGAAAATAGGTGTTAACAGGACATGTCCTGTTTGCATCTCTGTTCTTCTGTTTCTGTCTTTTGGCATATATTAACTTCAAGAAAGCCTAACAAACTGGCCCAACTTGCCGTCTTAATTCAGTGACTTGGTCTGTCCTTGGTATCAATAGTCCCTTTTTATGTTTATCGTTCCTAGGCACGTTGCCACAGTGCGGCGTCTTCAGCGCCGCCAGCACCTGGGAGTCCAGTGAAGAAAGGAGTGATCTACAAGCGCATTCCAACGTTTGTGCAGCTCGAAGGAGGCAAGAAATATGCCTGGTGTGCTTGTGGCCTGAGCAAGAAACAGGTAATATCATTCTGAACAGCAAGCAGGGGCTTTAGGTAAAAGCCCTGCGAGCTACTTGTCCTCATTGTTTTTTCCGACTACAGGCTTTGATATAGAAAATGAAACTTTGCTGTTTGGCCCGCATACATAAACTGCAGATCGCGGAAAGCTGGGACTCCACGCGAATGATGATGATCCAATGCAAAAGTTTAAGCATGTGATGTTACCTGGATTAAAAATTAAAGCACAAATAAGAAATGTCTGTACGAGCAATGTCCTCAGAAAGACAATCTTGATTTTCTTTGTTAGCATGACCAGTCCTTTTTCCATTGAAACCAGTGCCACAGGTGCCTGCGATAGGGCTCCTGTGTTGCCCAGGGACGGTTTGCAGATTGATGCGGCTATCTCTTCCAGCTGCTAAAATAGCCGCAACACAAATTTTCTGGTCACATGACTGGCCCAGAATGCAGAAAGTGTCTAGCGTTGCAGCCAGTTCCACTCAGAAGACCTAGGCCTTGCCTGTCGTTTTCTTTAATTCTCACCTAACACGACCTTCCCGAAAATAAGTGGACTTGAATAATCGAGGCAAGAGCGGAATTACGGCAGCCATTCGCTTGTCTCGGCATCAAATTATTTTGTGCCGCATATTCGAGGCCGGTGCTACTTCAACAGAGCTCTATGCTGTCAAAGCCACTTGAGCGCGCGTCACTTCGTTCAGCGTCTTTCTTGCACAAAGGTGCGTGCGGATAAGATGCAAGACGAGCCACATGCTCTTGCAGCGGTGCCGAGCTGCAGCTCTGTGGAAGCTAAGCTAGCCTTGACAATGTAGCAGAAAATAGTTGATGCAGAGTAATTTTTATAGACACCCTGTCCCCATGAAGTAGGTCATGTGACCCCAAAATCCCTCTTGTGAGGATTTCAGCTGCTGGAGGGAGATGCACTCAATCACCAGCAGACCGCCCGAGGAGACTCTGCGAAAAGCGACTTGTTTACCAGTAATGGATAGCACAAATACAGTATACTAGAATACGGGGTGGTGTTGGAACAGGAGTGGCTTGCATGAGGCGCGTGGTGTAGATCTCGACAGGCGTTGACAGCGGAGCAGCAATAGTAAGGTTGTGCGTGTGTGCGGTGATAGGCGGAAGAATACAGAATTTAGGTGCCATTCGGTAGTTCAAGTTGTGAAAAAAATCATGAAGGATGAAATGGGCTTCAAAACGGAGCTTGCAGACAGCGCTGTTTCTTCGACACGTTTACCCTTTCTTTGCAAATTCCTTTTCCATACGTCTTTTGCAACTTTGTCTTTTGGAACATAAAAAAGGTGCTGTCCTCTCTCCCTTTATGTCTGTGCAGCGCATTTGGCAGCCAGCCATAGGAGCAGCAGCAGCTGTTCTGTCGCCGTCTTGCGAACGGCAATTTGACGCTACCTCAACGCATCCACCATCCGCACAATCAGAAGAACACACCAAATTCGAAACATATTCCGGTCAAACAGGGAATGAGGATAGTATGTTCAGCTCACAGATGCAACGAATGCACAAGATTAAAAAACAGAAAGGTGTTGCGAACAGTTGCATACGCTTGATGCACTCTCAGTCAAACTCGGTGAGATGCAAGCATATTTTACTATTCTTACGAGTTCAGTGCTGCGCGTTTTGCCTACACGCACGGCCTCACAAGCTCCCATTGCCAAGCTACAGCGGTTTCTACACTACCCCATATTCTAGTGCACTGTTGTACAAACTTGCGCTTCTCGTACTGTCACATTGGTAGCAGCGTGCCTGTTCTGGTGCTGCGTGCAATCACAGGAAACAAAAAAAAAACAAAAAAAAAAACGGCAAAAATCAAGATGCAGACGCTAAAAGCTCGAGCCAGGAAACACTATTTGACCACATTTCAAAGAACAAAACAAAAAAACAAGCATTGCCACATTTGTTGTTTCACTACTTGCAGATAGGAGAGACATGGCATAAATTCTGCAGTTTCAATTGTTTTATGGCAGGCATGAATCTAGTCGATTTTAGACATGGAAAGGCAATCCTGTAAACATATAGCGTCTGCTATAACTACATGCATAGTTATAGCAGATGCGACCGTCTGCCATTTATGGTGGCCCCTACAAGAAGGTATCGGCGGTGTGGTAGAGTTTGCAGCCGGAGATAAGACCAGCGTTTAAATTTCAGCATGCTGCAATTTTGCTCCCCCTTCGTTCGCAGCAACAGTGTGTAGGATTCATAAAACAGTACACCCCAGTTGGAAACTTTCGTTCCTGAAAAAATTTTCTAAAACGTGGAACCTTGGCAAATTCGTGAAATTTTAAGCACTTAAGTGTACTGTCGCTTACAGTACCATTTTGTTTGCAGCCCTTTTGCGATGGCAGTCACAAGGGTAAAGACATCGGTATTGGGCCAGTTCACTTCACCGTGGATACGACTAAGAAGTATTTGTTGTGCCGTTGCAAACAGACAAACAACAGACCCTTCTGCGACTTGACGCATGTCAAGACATGTAAGTATCATATGTCCCTATATTTTCTTTTCGTTCCTGAAGCCGGTAAACTGAAAAAGAATAATTAAGCACCAAGTAGAGGCCAAAATTCAGGTTACCAATCTTGAAAAGAGAAACCTTGTTGCCCGTTACGGTCACCCCCGACGAAATATTTGTACTATATGTGAAAACGTTGTGGGTGGGGGTTCCATGTTTTTGGTAAATACCGATAAACCCTGAAAATTAACTCCCAATCCAGTTTTATCAAAATCGTGGAAACTGGGAAAACCTCCAATTGGAGCTGCCCTAGCTTCTCTAAAAAAAAATCTTTATCTATAGCTTTATTTTCTGTTCACCCAGAACACAGCCTCAAACGAACATGAGGCTTCTTGCTATGGAACCGCATATCTCGTTTCTTCTCTTAACTATTTGGGGACGTTTTCCAAGTTCCCTGGAGGTTGGTGGATCCCGTGTCCTATTTTCGATGAGCCCTGCAGACCCCTACTTTTCGACTGACCCTAAAAATCAATACTGAAAAACAAAATCTAAGAGAAACCCCCCCCCCCCCCCCCCCCCAAAATAACACCCCCAGATTATAATTAAAAAAAAAAAAAAACGGAAACACGAAACCTTAGCTATGGGGTCGTTAACATTGGTACCTCCTCTGGCTACACATCATGTGACTTGGTCACGTCGATAACATCACGTGAGCATGTCACTTGGCCAGTTAGGCTGACGAGGTCTCTTTTGCGTCGGTCTTGTCCCACATGAACTCTCTTGTGATGCATTTTTATTAAAAATGTATGGGTTGCATGCGTCACTAGTTCTATATAACGAAAGTCTGGTGTGGTAAACTGTTGGGGATGCAAACTTGCGATAATCCGCAAGAGATGCTAACACCCTGGTAAAATCGACATTCGTGAATCATGCTTGTGAAGAGATTTCACATTTTGTAAGCTCGCTTGATGAGCTTGAGCGAAAGAAACAAGTTCTCCTGAACTAAATCAACCTTTCCAAAACTCTTATACTACATACTACGAAGATTAGAAAAAAAGTCTCCGCGGAGGCTATTAAAACATGAATTTCTCACATTTTCTTTTCAGTCATACCTGAATCCATTCGTTCATCCCTGAAGATCAAGCTCTGAAGCAGACTTGTAGACCTCTAGGATACTGTGCACGGTACTGCTCGACAGCATTTATGTTCTGCTTAGCAGCAAGTTCGTAGGAAGTTCTCTGAAGAGCAGCAGCCACACCATGACATCTTACAGCACTCGACTGCTACTGAGCAATGGACAATTTATAGACTGTTTTTTTAGAAAGATGAACTATCATTAAATTTTCCATCCGTTTCTGAAAGAGCCTTTTTGTTTGTCTAATAGTTTTGCGTTATTCTGGTGAAGGTTTTGAGCATAATAGTGGCGACGAGTAACAGAGAACCATTGTCTTCACTATACTTTATTAAGGCACACTCACAATAGTAAAAAAACAAAAAAACAAAACAAATCGAACTACAATTTGAACATATTTCAAAGGGCAGTCGACGATGACATCGTGCATCTTGTGTAACAGTCTTGAAGTTATGGTTCAGCATAAAATGTCTGAAAACATTCAGGAAGGGTTCCTTATGATACTTTATGAAAACATATATTGTGACTTATCTTTCTCTGAGAAAAGTTTATGCTTTATATAACAGAATTCGGCACGCACTTCCATCGGGCTGCAATTTCTGGGGGTTCACAGCCTCCGTGATCTAAATTCACTTTACAAAGATTTCGTTCTAGTCTAAACTCGTTACTTTGTGATAAAGTTTTAAAACAAATGCAGAATGCACTATGACCGAGAAAAGATGCAGGTGAGCTAGTGGCTCAGGTGTAAATGTATGGTGCACTAACATATATTTTTTATCAAATTATTCCTTCATTAGCCAAAAGGCATTATTTGGAAGAAAGATTAAAGAAAGAATACAAAAATAGGCAACTTTCTTTTTGGCACTTTGAATGAGTAAACTGTCATTTGTTTGTCTCTCCCACATCCATTTACTTTGCTTGCACTGAGCGAGGTCTGTACAGTCAAGGACAGATTTACACTGAATATTTACAGCCTTCTATATACAGAAACTTTGTTCAGTAGGTCGCATCCAGGTTACTCTATCTACAAACCCCATATAAAATAAGCAAGGAAAAAGTACAGTAGCTTCAGCATTCTAAAAGCCTGCCTAACTAGCGATGTCATTGACAGTACATATATACCTAACCTGGTGATCAGATGGAGTTTGACTTATTACCGACTTGCATTGTGAATTTGAACTGCATTATCAATTACTTCAATGGATTTTCGCAAGTATAGCGCTGTAGTCGGCTAGGAAACAAATGACAGACAATGGAATGAAACCACCACGGTTATGCAACATTACGGACATGATTTGTAGGGGTGTGTGAATAGTGGTTCGAATCGAATAGCACAGTGTCATCCCTACCATCAACAGCGCAAAGAGAGCAGGTTGCATCGGCTTTCCTTTGCACCGCAAAGACTATAAATGACGTTGTGCTATTCGATTCGAACCACTATTCGCACACCCCTAATGATTTGAAGCTGTACCACGAACACAACGATTTGTTAGTCGGATCGATTATCACCCATAGAAACACGACATACCTTAGTCACCACATTTACCCGAATCTTAGCACCCCTTATTCATCTTTCCAGAACGATTACGTCCAAGAGAGGTGGGTATTAACTTTCAAAACAAACATCTATTTCCAAACTTGTCTTTTTTAAATCTCTCGTAAGGACAAGGTGGGGGAGGTCAGAATTGCAAATACACATCATTTTGTTCATAAATGCACATCTTGGCAGTGCTTCTTGATCTTAGTGTTTGGTCCCATCTTCTCAGACTGGCAATCAAAACATGTATATTTCACATTTCACACTGCCGGCTGACTTAGTGTGGCTTACACTTCCAAAATAAGTCTGTCTCTCTCTCTATCTCTCACTCTCTTTGTACATTGAATCTTGCTACTGCTGCTTCACATTCACCCACTGGCTGTTCATGGCAGTCCAAAAGACACATTCTGTTCGAAGTATGCAGCACCATTTCACACTATACATATGTAGAAATGGAAGAATATCCAGGCACTATTGGGTCTTACCACATTCAAACCTGCAGCTGGATAAACATATGTATGCACACACATCGATGCTTGGCCAATTCATTTGACACCTCCGAATGATTTCGCCAGTCCAGTGAACGCAATTGTCTTTACCCTTAATTCATCTCCTGTCCTTTCATGTGGATAATCTTCACTCCTAGCTGCTCTTAAGAAATGCGCACACACGCACACACACACACACACACATGCACGAAAGAAGCTAAAACTATCTGTCCCGCTGATTCAACGCCTCTTTCACCTCCGCCGGAGTATAAAGTCGGAAGCACCACAAAGTCGGTGAGCTGGACTTTCTTCCATCTTCGAGGTGGCATTCCATTCTGCTGGCTCGTGTCTCGTAAAATCATTAATGATGTTCTACCAACATAACCGTGTCAACGCTTCACCGCGTACCACAGGCAGGCTTCTTTGTTTCACTCCAGTTCAAAACGTTCCATGTTTTAAACCGGCTTCCGGCAGTGCACGCTGGAAAAGCACCGTCGTCCCGCGCCGCATATTGCGTCCGATGCCGGTACGCGAGGCACTTAGAAGTTTTGGTCCAGTTGCAGCTGCGCCCTGAAGCCATTCCTCTTGATGGTGGCTTCTCGCTGCAACTTGCTGGGTGATGTGGTGCTCGTGAGCGTGGAGAAGTTGTTCTTGAACTGGGACGGGGGAACGTAGGTGTTCCCCTCGGCCTGCACCAGGGGCGTGCCCAGGTGCTTGGGAATGCCGCCGGCCCCTCGGCCCCCCCTCCGCTTGGCGTAGCGGTAAGTCCCCAGTGCCCCCACCAGGGCCCCCAGGGCCAAGCAGGCGATGCAGGCACCCACCAGGTGCTCCACCCTGATACCCGTGGAGATCTCGCGCGTCTCCTGCATCCGGGGCACGCTGGCAACTGCGGGGCATGAGGAGGGAGGGTGGAGAAAGAAAACGTGTTTTAGTGCATCGCACCCACCGTCGATCGCATTGTATGGGATGTCCCCCCAAAAAATTTTGAAGGTTTTTCCAACACAAAAATGAATAGCACGTCGCTGAACGCTTTTTCTCCGCCCAAATGTAGTGCTAGCAATCCAAACCAGATGCTGAAGTTGCAGAAGGAACCGTTATTTTGTTCAAAAGTTATTAGCAATATTCTGAAACTCTTTGGTGGGAAAATGGTGGCTGACGGAATTCTTGAATACATGGAGCTGGATGGCGCCAGTCACCGACAACGAGCCCCATTTTCCCCGTTGAAATTTTCCGAAAATCGCTTGTGTAACTTTTGAATGAGATAACGGCTGGTTGCAAAACTTTTGGCATCTGGTTTGGACCACTAGTGTTACGGTAGGGCGGAGAATGAGCGCTCAAAGATGCGCAGGAGCGCTCGAAAATGTGCCGTTTATATTTGCGGCGATAAAGACATTGTAAAATTTATTTAGACACACTGCACGTACCGACTCTTACAACAAGCCACCTTTTTGTAGAAGAGACCCTAGCGTCTGCTTTGCAGCGAAGCATACCGAGGGCTAATAGACCCTTTTCAAAAGTGAGCGCCATCTTTTAGCTTGTCCGAGTCTCCCAATGTTTGGGCACGAAAACTGCGTCGTCCTTCGGCGTGAACTCTGCTCGGCTTGTGTCAAGAACGAGTATGGCATTTGATGAGCCAAATCGCACGCTTTGTGCTCAAAAAAATGGCAACCGCCGGTGTTGCTCAACGGAGTTTTGAAAAGTGTCTATCGTTGCAGTCTAAGGAGGCAGCCCAATAAATGGCGGCGTAAGGGTGCAATACTCGAACCCAGGCATGCAAGCACGATGCACGTGAGAATTGCAGTGTGCCTCTCTCGAATGCCCGGACTCAAGCTCAGGCACGTTGCCTTTCGCCGTGCTTTGTCTGCACATGTGCACTCCAGGCGTACGAGACGCCCAAGCGTTATCGAAGGCAGGAAGCTTGCCCGGGAGGCGGGACAACTGCGACCCCTCCCTGCCGTCTCGTCCTGTCGGCGACTGTAGTGGCATTAAATCTACTGCTGGCATCGAGCTAAAGGTTTCTTTCTGGCCTAGTGTACTGGCACCGTCTCAAAAAAGTGGAGGGATACTGTTATTTTTTCCGAGATGCTGTTCCTCTAGGCTGGGACCCTAAGAAGATTGTCCTGCCTTTTTCTTATCTGCTTCGATCCAGAGACCAAATGTCCCCATATCTGTGTCGTAACCTAGGTGCTTGCAAATGTCTTGGCAACTGAACTCAAACGTTCTGCTCTTCCTCGCATCGGCTAAGTACCCTCCGCAGAAGTGCAGCCCACCATTTGAGAACCAATTTTTTTATTAGTGGTGCGTGATACTATAGTACCGCTTCTGTGCAGTTTATCGGACGAAAATAACAATCGAGGCAGCCACTGACTTTATCTTGTATAACGAGCCTAGCCAGTGGACGTGATGATGTGTGGACTCACTGCTGTCCTGGCCGGCGATGCACATGCGGCTCTCACGGGTGGACCCTCTGCACTGCTCGGGGCTGGGATCCAAAACGGTGCAGGTCCTGCGCCTGTGCTGCTCGTTGTTGTGGTCGCACAGCGACCACACGGACCACTCAGTCCACTCTTCATCCTCCGCGGTAGGGGGACCTGCAGGCAGCGAGACCAGAGGCACCATGACGACTGCTGTATGTATTCCACACACTCGCTACTCCCATGCAATATACTGTAGAAACACAGGCAAGTATACATACAGGTGTCAATTGCCTGAAATTAGTTTCTCTTTTCTAACCAAAAGTTCTGGCTGTCATATCAAACTAAAATAGAAAGGGAATTTCTTTGAAGGTGTGGGTCCTTTTGAACATCAACTCTGGAAACCGAGATAGTGGCTGCCGGTGGCTGCTTAGTAGTTTACACATGTTCAGAGGCAAGCTAACCTCTATGTTGCATTAGCCTGAGAGCAGTGTCAGGCCCCCCACTTTGTATGCAAGCTCTACAACCTTTGTGTACACTGTACAACCTAAAACACAGGCAATCGCATGATAAGCAGGCACAGTCACTGGTACAGCTTTATGGTTCACCAGACTGGCAGACGAACCTGTGCGCCAGCTAAAAGATCTAACCTAAATCTTTTTTTTTTTTCACCACCAGCCCAGGAAGTTTTCTACAATAGGGGTGATGAAGGATGGTTTCCGTTTTTTGAATTCGTGATCGGTAACAGGCTAATATAAACTCATGTAAAGAAAGATTTCAACCCAGTGGTGTAGCTAGGCCATCTGGCACCCGGGGCCCTTACCGTACAATACCGAGCAAGCGCCCACTCAAAATTTAGAATTAATCGCGAAAAAATGGGGGATGGGCGCTTGTCTGGTCATCAATTTTACATATCAATGTACTGTGCATATTTCCTTAGATCTTACAAATTTGGGTATGGGTGCTTAGTGTGGTATGGGCGGATGCATGGTATTCTACGGTAAGTCTTTTGTAGCCTAGCCCCCCTTTCCCTCCCCCCTATTCACTTCCCGAGATCGAGTTCGCAACCAGTAAACCGGGAAGCACAGGGGGGGGGGGGAGGGGGGGGGAGGGGGGGGGGTTATTATGCCATTGCTTTAACCTTGGACTGACATTAGCCTTAATGGCATTTTTCTAATATTTTTTAACTGTCACAAAAAAACAGACAGGTAAATACCGCATCAACTTTTCTTTTTTTCTTCATATTCCTGATTACTTTTTTCAATGTTTTTTTGTACGTCTGTGGCATTTGCCATGCTAACATTTTGAAGGAGTTTTTTTAGATTTTTCGTTTTCTTGTTTTCATCTGCATATTACTCATGTGGGTCCATGTTAAACACAGGGACGGCGCCAGGCTTTTCTTAGTGAGGGGGCAGTAGGGAGGCGCACGGCATTTTTGGGGAGGCATGAGCTTTCGATCCGACTAAAAGAACAAATATCCAGGGACGATAACTTGGCACTTAGGGAGTTTTTAATAGAAATCAGCTCAGTTTATTTCATTATTTTACAGCCTATGTACAACTCTGGTTAATGTAGCATTTCACCTGCAAAATATTCAGGCATGTTTACATTCCGCAATACTAAATAAGCACGCTCACGCTTGTCGTGACTCATCATCTGCTCTTTAGGCAGTCCCCTAAAACCGGAGCACGTCAGCGATCATGTAGATGTAGTGACGATTCTCCCTTCTTTGCTGAATACGCCTGGCAAAGGTACACGGCGACTGTTTAGCCGCGCCACTTTTCTTCATCTCCTTGAAGGAAGCCAATATGTTTGGGACATCTTGCGTGCCGCACTGTTGGAGTGGCATCGTAGTCCTCCTTCCCTCTGAAGAGCTTTCTTCCAGTTTCGATAGCCCTCTGTCAAAATACAGCACTTCCACTGTTTTCCTCCCTCCCTCTCTCCCCCCCTCTCTCTCTTTCTCTCTCCTCTCCTCCCCCCCCCCCCCCCAAAAAAAAAAACAAAAAAAACAAAACAGAAACACTTTCAGCTTTCCTCCAACCTCGAGGGATAGTCCCTCGAAGGGACTCTGTGCCTGCCCCAGGGTCACTAATGATGGGAGCATGGCAGTTCTCGAACCGCCAGGCTCACCAAAGTTGCTTCAAGGACCCCATAGAGACTTGAAATAAGCAGGATGACCTAGACACATCAAAGCCGCCCCTTGGGAACCCGCATTCGGCCCGAGCGTGTCAGAACTTTGGGAGATTTCCTCGGTCGGAACATGAACAGTGCCCTTGAGTTCCTTTGTCTGGCAGGTACGAAGCGACGGTGCAGTGCAGATGGGATTTCAAGTCTCTCCGAGTAATCATTTGGGTGAAGCTACTTTCAGGAAGTATTTTATGGTTGGCGACAGAGAAATTGAGTGGTAGGCGACGCACCTTAGCTTCGGCAAGCCATACAAATATTCATGCATCGTTCTTCACGGGGTGCGTAAAGGAAATAAAGCGGACGGCACGAAAAAGTTCGAAACGTCCGGTATGAGACCTCTTCAGGCTGGCTATCCTTCAAGCCAGTGCCTTTTCTATGGGACGAGGAAATTAGGAAAATGACGAGCCATGTAGCGTATGCGGGTCTGCGCGCGAAAATTAGTGCGAGGGGGGGGGGGGGGTGTAAAGGCTGGCATATTTTTGGGGTGGCAGGACAAATTTAAGGGGAGGCGCCCGCCACCCCTCGCCTCCCTTTGGCGCCGTCCCTGGTTAAACATTTAACGTTTTCACCTATAAATCTGCTACACATCTGGGCATTGCCTTACACTAGTTCTTCAGTACGCTTCTGATCACAAAACTTCTACCAAAGTATGCTGTAGGGGCAGAAGCTGCTGCTAGATATGCCATTGTCGATAGGGGGTGTTCTCATTTGGCCCCTCCACTCTCAGTCGAGCCAGTCAAAATTCACGGTGACATGGCAGTTTTATAAAAACAATTTCTTGTACACTTAACATTTTGTTATACTTGTAGTTGGTATCCGAGCGGCGGTCATTCTTTATGAACCTCTAACAGAACTTACAAATAAGCTTTTCATGTTTATTTTCAAAGAGAAGGAGGCCCTCTCAAGCAAAAAAAAAAAGAGTCGATTTTGACAGTTTTGGCAGTATTCAAAAGTAATTTCTGAGACAAGGAAAAGGAATGAAAGATGATATAATTTCAGGATATAGTTGCAAATTAGGAAGTTTGAGCAGTTGATTGCACATACAAAGCCAAAGACTTGTACATTAACTAGAAACACTTTCAGTGCAATGATGCACCACCAAAATCTAGGCGTGGCTTATTCAGAGTGGGCCCAAAGTTCCAATGACATTTTTGAATGATGCCCATTCAGTCACGAGAAAAAAGATTGTGCGACGATCACACGACATGATGTGTTTAGACAGCGCATGATCGGTGCTGTACGGTGCCAATCGTGCGTCCTACGGTGATCTGATATTGAAATGACGTGGCATTGATTTAGCGTCAATATGTTGTTGTTGAATAAATTATTTTATGCTCACGCCGTCGAAAAAAAAAAAAAAAGCATGATCGGTGCTGTACGGTGCCAATCGTGCGTCCTACGGTGATCTGATATTGAAATGACGTGGCATTGATTTAGCGTCAATATGTTGTTGATGAATAAATTATTTTATGCTCACGCCGTCGAAAAACCGGGGAATGAACCACTAATAACCAACGCTGCAAAAAAGAGTCAAACCAGCGATAGCATGTTTCTAGCAATTGCGTCGCGCATGTGCGTGCCAAGAGATGGGTAAGGTTGGCCACCCCCCGGGGGGCATTACTATGGCAGTTTCACACCCCCAAGTGCTTAAATTTCCTATGGGGCATACTCACGGGGGGTGGGGCAAGGGGCCGCGTCGCAGGGGGCCACTTGCGTGGCCTCCCCCTCGCACGCTCCGGACTCTGTGCCCGATCCGGGTTCCCTCACACACGTGCGGGTGCGCGACTTGGTGCCCCCGCCACCGCACGTGACGGAACACTCGCTATACTCGGACCAACAGGACCAGAAGCCTTGGAGAGGGAGGCGACAGAGGGGTGCGGGGAGAGAAGGCAAGGGAACGCCACAGTAAAGCCACCACCCAAGGAAGAGACGAAAGGGTCTTTCGGGCACACAGAGGGACAAAGAAACAGGCATGCGGGCAGGCACCGCGCATGCAACGTGGCTGCGATTTAACGTGGACAGAGCTAGGATTGATAAAAAAAAGAAGCCTTAAAGATTTTTTATCCATTTCCCACGAGTGCGAGATCTCTTTCATATTTCCATTTAATTTCCGAGACACAAAGTGGAGGATTTCTGATTCAAAAGGTTAAAAGCGCAAAACAACAAGGACGAAAAAGAAAGCACACACGACAGACAAATGCTAGCATGCAACTGATTTTACTTTTTTTAAAATCTGAAGTGGAGGCATGAGTGGCAACTTTATTCATGCATGGGCGCTGGTTTGACTGACTGGGATAAAATATCAGTTGCAAGTTAGCGCCTGCATGTATCATATGTGTTTTCTTCTTCGTCCTTGTTGTTTTGCACTTTTGACCTTTTATATCATTATGAGCCAACTAGCTCAAACCAAAGTCTTAATAGAGGATACTCTCCACTTTGTGTCTTGAAAATTAAATAGAAATACGAACGAGAGCAGGTGCTCGTGGGAAATGACATAAAAATCTTTAAGGATTGTTTTGTTGATTGATCAGCTGCAAGGTGCAGAATAAAATGTTGACTGCTACAGAATTAGGTTATGTATGCCTGGAATTGCCATCGGAGATTTGTTAGCAAAACCAATTTGACTCAAGGTGAAAAAGTTGCGTGAAAGTGAGCCAATGATGTGGCGTGGCCTCGCACTTTTTGAAATGGTGGAATGTTAATTCCTGTGCCTGTCGTGTCTGCACATGCAATTTCAATAGACTGAATGCAGAGGCAATTGATTTTCACTTCTTCTGAGCGGATGCATTCTGAAAGCACTTACAGTTCAGCAGCATAGGAGATGCAACCTCTGTTCTTATATATGGCCAACCTTCTGGTTTTTATGATTGTGTTTTATGTAAAACCTATTGAAGTTTCATAATTATATCCTACGCAAGTTATTTTCCCCTCATTACCTACTCTGACATGCTTGAGTCACAGTACTAGTCCAAATTTTTTTAATAAATAAG